GAGAAAATAGCCTTAGAGGATTGTTATATAACAACGGAGTAAACAGAGAATGCGGAGAAGAAGGGGTGTACTTAAGGTACCGCCCCTAAGAAAACTACGTGCTATTCACATAAGTTATATAATTACAAATTCAGTGCGGAGATGAAAAAGTATAAGCTATTTATAATCAGAGTCACCTTTTTAAGAAGAGGTGTTGAAGGTGTTAACTTAAAATTTAAGAAATATTCTGGAATCGTGAATTTGACTTAGAATTTGACCAAAAAATCCAGTCTGAAAGTAATCGATATTATAAGAAGCAGGAGTTTCCAGGAATTCCTGTGCGCGGTTAACTTTTACCAGAGAGATTTACAACTAGAAAATTAACATAATTAAAAACATAGCTTATCACAAAATAGTACAACAAGATCTAATCACCGTAGAAACGGAGCAACTGTTTCCGTACCAAATTCACAACCGCAATAAGAAAAAGGTGAAAGAAATTGTACTTAGATGAGATCGCCAAAAGGAATAAGAAATAATCAACCTGTCTTACTATAATTTTTGTATCGAATGGCTTAAATTAATATAATATTTCCATTCTTTTTCCCAACACCAATATAAGGAAACCCTTACAATATCTCAAATTAAATATAGTTCTATTTTTATCGTTTAATAATATGTATCAAATCCTAAGCATTGCGGTGTTTTACGCAATCGAGTTGAATAGCGTGGTTGAGGTTGAGATTGCGCTGTCGCGGCTGCGTGCGTATTCGCATTGCTACCTTTAGTTTTACTTGGTTTTAGCGTGGCGTTTTCTGCGGTTTCCGTTTGCGGAGGCGTTACCGGTTGGATGTCAACGGTATCGTTCGAAGGTGTTACACTAATTTCTGGTTTACCCTCTTGGTTGCTTAAATGCTTTTGATGCATTTGGTCAACATGGCGTTTCCAAAGTTGTTCTCCTACTAGAACTTTATAGAAGACGGTGTTGAAGTCCTAAATGTAATAACTGTCCTAAATGTAACAAAGTCCTAAATGTAATAACATTTGGTCCTAAATGTAATAAAGCCCTAAATGTAATAACGTTCGGTCCTAAATGTAATAAGCCTCCTATGCAATCGTTTAACTGCGCTAACATTGAGATGTTAAAGTGACAGCTGTTGCACCAAAGAATCCTCAGACCAATATTTATGGAATATTGCGGGCTCACTGAAATTAATAAGCGGTTTTTTATTTGTTAAAGACGTAGGTTGAGAAGCATTGGCTACAAAACCTTATTCTAATACTGATGTGCTTTTGGCATCAAATTGACGGACGCAGAAGCAACGAGAACGTTGACTAATAGCTCTCTCTATATCATTGGCTCAGACTCTTAAGTGTAACAGATTTTGACGAAATACTTCTGTCCTCAGTGCTGAAGTTAACACTTGATGAACCAAATTACAAGGAAAAAGAAGTCCACCGACTTATACGTTAGACAAATTCTGGGCTCAGAAGGGCATTTTTTGCTCTGTCTTCCCTTGCCAGATTTGTACGGGTTTGCATAAAATATATTCATATGCGTTATTGACCGAACGTGAGGTCAAAATGGCTATATATTGGCCGAGTTCTTTTTTTTTTTTGCGTTTTTATGGACTGAGACGAAGTCACGGTCCATAAAAAAGTAGAAAAAGAACGAGGTTAATATCCAGTAATCTTGACCGTACAAGAGATTTTATATTCTCTTGGCTTAATCATTAAAGGATTCATTGTATAGCAAAAGATTTCGCTTTGATAATAATCAAGAATGGCCTGTTTATTTCGAGAGCCGATAGTGAAAGTCAACTGTGTTTGCAGCACAAGAAACCCAAGAGGGTCGTTTATTTTTTCTATGTATATATGAAAACATTGTCCAAAAGTTACGAACTTTGTAAGTTTTCTTGCGTGGGATCAATACGGGGGATCCCGAACGGGCGAGGGTGGGCCCATCATGCCCGCTCAGGTAGCCAATCAGAACACAGGATTCATTTCATCTTGCCCGCGTGCGCTGCTGGCTATATGATAATGTGACTTGCAGAGCAGAGCAAGATATCGACTGACCAATGATATGTTATCCCATTTCACGATCACAGGTCTCGACATGTTGCCTTTTTCCACGCAAGAGTCAAATTGAACCATTGAGCTACACCATTCAACACATGATGGTCAGTTGGTGGTCTAATGAACCATTCATTTTTTTTCCTTTAGCCCCTTATGACGGGTTCATCAGTTCCCGAACCGAAATATTAGGAAAACATACATTTTAAAGTTGATCTCAAGTTTATATTTCATTTTTTGTCTTCAAATCAGGATATTCATTCTTAAAAATGAACTCAAATACTTCATTAGAATCAATTGACACTGAATAACATTGATGTGCAAAATTTCAATAACGCTACTGATAATAATAATAACAGAAATCATTCAAACTGCTCTTAAATGGTGCATCACTTCTAAAGACTTTAACACGAACGATAACATCAACAATAGCATGCTAGTTCATCATCAATTGTAGTAAATTTCTTTTCCAACGATAACATCAACAATAGCATGCTAGTTCATCATCAGTTGTAGTCAATTTCTTTTCCAAAAAGTCTTAATGATTACGTACCAATCGATTCCATCCTATTGAGCTTCCAGCCAAGCACTTGCCCACTTTGGGCTGGAAATGATTTTCTTCAACTCGGTCAATAAACCGCTTTAAGGACCATACTTCGACTGCTGATATTTCTTATGTCTAGCAAGTAAAAAGACGCTGATTGATATCAGCGGGCCCATAATGTGACATGTATACTGGTCAGCCGTTTTTTTTTAGCAACAGCTGTCACTAACATATCAATGTGGATGTCCGCCATAACAACAATGCACTGCAGGAGTTAAACGATTGCATTAGAGGCTTATTACATTTAGGACAGTTATTACATTTAGGACTTCAACAGACGGAACCGGTCTGCTCCGTAACAGCACCATCAGGCTACTTCAGCTCACCGCGGAAGTTTTGCACCAGAACTTCTTCATCAAGGGTGAATTCTCTTCCTTTACTAATCTTATCGTGTCTGGCTTTCTGATCCGTCCGCCGTGCGCGATGCATAGGCAATCGGTCGCTCTTCTCCCGAAGGTAATATGCCTGAGATTACTTCGCCTATGCCATGCTGTGAGGCATCTTTGTCGAATTTTAACGGTAACTTCTCGTCAAATATGTTAAAACGGACGTACTGGACAATTTGTCCTTGAGTTAATTGAGCGACTTTTGCTGATCTGTAGACCATTTCAATTCGACTCCGTCTTTCAGTAACTCGTTTAACTGATCTTGATAAGTTACTTCAACCTGAACTTGTCCAATAATTTCGAGGGCTTCTCCTGTGTAAGTCTTCAACTTAATTTGGGACTTTTGGGGACCATCTTCTCCACGCCTCCTCGAACATGATTGAAACTGAAGTACCAGTGTCCAACTCCATCGAAAAGTTTTCACCATTCACCTTTACAGGAACCATGATGGATAGCTCAGGCTTTCCTAATGAATGTGAAATAGTCTGAGGTCGTCGTTTGGCTCTTTTGGAAGGGCGTTGTCTTCCGCGTACCGAACTGGTTGTCTTCTCCCACCTTGATTCGGACGTGATCTATGGACGTAACCATCTGAGGATACGCGTGCTTTTTTCTTACAGACTTTGGTGATATGCCCTTTTGATTTACAATTCCGACATAATTCTTCTTTAAACGGCATTTTTGCGGGATGTGGTCCTCGCCTCAATGGAAACACGCTCTCTTTGGCTTCATTGCTTTTAGCGATAAATTAAAAGCTCAATCGTTCCAAGAAATCCCATTCTCGTCGCCAGTCGTTGTGTATTAGGGTTCGATATACTACTATGGAGTAATGCGTTAATCAGACCATGTGCTGAATACAATGAACTTAATTATATACAATGATATGTAAGGATAATCACGTGACTGCGGTTAAGGGTGTGCTAGAATCCAGCTGAGGTATTTATCATTCCAAATAGGGACAAACACTACAGCTTTCTTCACCTAAGTAATGCTTCTTCGCCTTCTTCGCCAACTTCGCCTTGCTTTAGCATTTTTCCCTCTGAATCTTGCTGGTCTCTAGTGATTCTAGTGTTTCTCTAGTGATTCGAGAGGGAAAAGCAATGGTTGAACGTTGCCGGTATAAGTAACTGACCTTTTCACAATCTTAGCGGAAGTCATTATATGAGTCAAGTGAAAAGTTGTTGTCAGTCAAGTGCTGAAAGTACGGTTGTCGTGAGCTGATTGGTCAGTTTTGCTGTAAGATTCAAGTGGCGTAAGTTGGTAGTGATTGGTCATTTTTTTTCAGTTGATAATGTTAGGTTGTTCAGGTTGGTTAATATGTTTTTCAAATGTACCGATCGCTCCGCTACGCCATTTTTCAACAAGATCAAGTGCTCCGACCGCCATACCTCCTTCATCGGGGAGACTGGCAAGAACCTCAAACAAGACTGACCGGCAGACGTACTTCAGAGGGTATCCGCAGGATTGAGCAGGATATCTGTTTCATTACTCAACACATTGATCACAAAGTACAATTTGTCGAGTTTGTCAATTTGCAGAAAAGCTGAAAAATCCGCTATTTTTCTCCACGACACACGAAATGACGTATATCGCAGGATATCTGTTGGGTACGCACGACGAATATTAAGAGAGCCATGACCATATTTAGACATTGCCACAATGTGTTGAATAATAGATTTGAATAGTTTGAAAGGTATAATTAACTAGCATCGCTCACCGAAAAGCATGAATGGCTACGGAATGAAGCTAAACGTTGTCTCAGGAGACTTTATGGTGGGGTATTTAATGAACATTTTGCTCCCACTCGGCTCCCAGAGGAGGAGTTGGAGTTCGAGCACGCCGTCTTCAAAGATTGATTCGCAGGGTGTTGTTATCGCAAGGATGTTCAAGTTTCGTCTTAAGAGTGCATAAATTCAGTTATTTCTAAGTCTTGTTAATTATCAATGCGACAAAAATCGAACGTGTTGTAAACTTGTTCTATTTTCTTCTACGGTGATTGCAGTTACATGATCATGAAAGTGGCAATTCAAAGGCTCGAAATTTCTACCCCTGTTGCTCTTCTGATTCAAGCATTTCCAACTGCTTGACATGTTTCTTGTACGCTTTTATCTCTTCAAATAAGTGGCGCATGATGGGGTGATTGCAGGTCTTTGTCTGTTCTTCTATGCAACGAATATAAGCATCATCTGCGTCATCGCCTGCGTCAGGGTCTCCCTGCTCATGCTCGGACACTTGCATGCTTTCAAACAAGCACTTCTTCATGGCATCTCCAGCGCATTTGTGATAGCGATCATTCTCTGCAAAGTGAATAAATATGTTACTACTTTTTATTTTCAAGATTCTTTATGGCGTATTCTCCGGCGTACTCTCAGACCCTGCAATAAGAATACCGTCCCTAGATTCAGACTGGATTTCAAGACAATCAACTTGTTTTAATGCGCCAACGTTGCTATGATAAAAGCTGTTACTTGGAAATCAATAAAAAACTAAACTTCAGTCATGCGTCGAAAAGTTGTTACTTTAAGTCCTCTCTTAGGGATGGTGCCTCCTAATACGAAGATATATTGTCGCGGTTTATCACTATGCAAAAAGGTGGATCTTGGTAAGGGCTATTGAAAATTTAAAAGAAAATTGGAAAATTTTCGAAAAAAAGAAAAGAAATATTTCTTTGAGCATTTCCTTAGAATTTCCGTTTACATACACCAAGGCAACAACAAACCACAAGCTTTGAAATACATAACAATTGGTGATATAAAAACTAATTTTTATGTGGTATTTATTACAAAATCATTGCAATGGAGCCGTTTTTGGCCCTGGCTGCTCTCTTCTAGGTAAGCAAAAAACAGTCTAAATATATTTTTCGAAGTACGACAAAATCACTATTTGTTGAGTAGGCTTATTACTTCCGTTTTGTAAAGTAAAACGTGGGAGTAACCACGCGTTTTTTAAAGCTATATTGGTTATTTTCTAATTTTAAGGCAAGTTTTTGGTGCTCCAGAAAATTTTTGCACTACCCCTTCTCTAGTAAGTTAAATGTTTGCATGTTTTCCTTGAGTATGCTGGGGTATCCGGTAAGTTATCTTACGTTCGACGAAAACATCTTTCCTTTTATTATTGTCGACAGCAATAAAATAAAAGAATAAAACCGAAACGGATTTTTGTGTATTACATCGTTCGGTACAAAATATAACTTGTTTTAAGCGATTCCTTTGAATTTGAAGCCTATAGTATTTGCCACTTCACTTCACTTGCTTTTCCTTGGTTCAGCATGATTTCATAAAACACACCACAATAACGCTTTTTTTGACGGTTTTTTGGTGTAGACAGCCTGTTGTCAATCTTGTAAAGCTATCCGCTAAATCAAGAGCTCACAAAAAATACGGTAACTAATCATCAAAGCTAGCACAACTCGCATAATATTACTCAGTTCTCCATATGAGATAGTCATTGTCCTAGTCCAAAACAGGAAGTCGGGAAGCGTAACTCAAGTCTGTTTCTTCCTCCTTTTTTAACTCGTGAATTGCGCGCATGCGCAAGAGCGATTTGTAGATACGATGTGGAGAATGGCACTCGCTCGATTCCTGTAAACTTGTTTTCGATTTTAGGCTTTTGAGTGCATTTGATAGTTTTTGGCGAGTAGTAAATAAACGAAATGGCGACCTTTGTTGCTAAGAATAGTGGTGGGGTGAAAAAGAAGCCAATGATAATCTTAAAAGAGATTATTTTTTGCGTTTTAGTTTCAACAAGCAGCGCCAGCGACTGGCAAGCATGCGAGGATTCACACTGAAATAAAAGGACAACCTTCGTTTTTCATAAAATTGTAATTTACAATCCTTGAACGTGAAAACAATCCGAAGATACATTAAAAATATCACTTACTCCGAAGCGCTCGGAGTTTACAAGTGTTCAAAGCTTTTTCAGTTATGGCGTGAGACTAGGGACAAAATCGATCATTACATTTCGTATCGTGTGTTTTTAGTGTGTGAAGCAACAAAAGGTGCCGGCGACTGACGAAATTACAGGTTAACACGAAAATCAAATAACACCTAAACAAATAATTTTGGCTACCGATTTTCAGTGAATTTTAAAGAACAATTTTCTTTTGAGTTTCAAGACGATTTGAAGATTCAAAATAAATATAAAACGTACTAAAATGCGAAAGTTATAAACCACAAAATTGATAAATAGGCCTGAAATGAAATTCTATCTTGTTATTGATTATACGTTGCCTAGCACGTGACTTAATTCTACCCAGGCGGAGATCCAAAATGACGGTTGCAGGCTTGGCTTAGTTATATCACTCAAAACTCGTTCCCTTTTGTCTCATTTGATAAAGAGGGAATCGTTAATGTTTTCATTAAGACAGTATTGCCTTGATTTTCTAATATTTACAACGAAAGACAGTAAATTTCACTTTTCACCCACATTTACTTCCAACCTTTTCTTTTGAACCAGAAACAAAAATGATATATGTTTAAAACACATTACATCATTCACCCTTGTCAAATGAAATAGCATGATCATTTTAATGGCCCTTATCGGAGTTGAGCACGCCACCCAAACAATCCAGCGGTATTCTTGTGAGTAAACATCAAAGCGAGGCTATCGGGTCAACATCGATCAGATTTGTGTGAGAAAGCGAGGAAAACTTATGGAGTGTTCCAAAAATCTTCCACAAGCGGCCTTTTTTTCCGCTGAGGAGAAAGTGCAGTTGATAAGTGGTAATTGCCCACGGCATATTACTAAAGAAAGACTCAAAGAATGGTTGTCATTCCGCAAAGGGACGGCTAAAGATGGTAGTGCACGGTCTAAAGCAACGAAGGCTGAGTTATCTCAAAGGTACACAGATTGCAATATTTTTTGTCCCTTATAATTATTGCCATTGCTTGAAGGGAATATCGAAGCATAAGTTCTATATCGATTTGTTTTACCTGCCGCTGGGTCATCAGTTATATAAAAAATGGTTGGGAGAATAATTTTACGGAGAGGTGGTACTTAGCGGAAAGTAAACCACTGTAGCAAACGGCGACCGTCAATTATGATTTCCCTGGATCTGCACAATGGGTTTCGCTGGTTGACGCGAAGGACGATGCCCCTTCATTTAATATTCAGAATATCGTGTCTTACTTTATTGAAGGAAAAGCTAAAGACAATGAATCCAACAAAGATTTCAAGAATGTCAGCAGTTTGCCATTTCTCAAGTAAACATGAGATTTCGTCATTCTTTAACTGAAGTTGATGTTCCCAGTTTTCATCTACAATTTGAAATAAACCTTCACTTTCGAGATGTTCAGTTTTCATACCATCTGAAACAGATTTAAAATCGGTGTTTTCAGTGTTTATCGGTTCGGGGGCTGAATGCTGCTGCGATTTCTCTATTTTTGTTTTCTTTGTGTTCAACGTTGCTCGATCAGCGGGCTCTTTCCTCTTTGGTTTTTCAACAGTAAATATAAACTTTGTCGGTACGGAATCTGGCTTCAAGCGAATTCTTTGTCCTCCCATTGGTTTTATGAAGCAATTAGCTTCAAAATGCTGACTACAGACATAAGAGTTTTTGTTTACCGGAGTGTTCTCTCGACGCAGTTTCACGAGCCTTTGTGCCAGCAAATTCTTGTTTGACAGCGGCAGCGAATGCCATGATAAGTCCTTGCATTCCGCTTTGGAACTTCGGTTTTGACACCCAAAAGCTATGCAATGTTTCACCATGGATAAAGAAAATAAAAACTCGAGAAAATATTATGTAAATACCAAGCTACTACTAATTTCCCTCTCTGCTTCCTTGTACTTTAGAGCGAGCTAGACCCGATAGCCTCGTTTTGGCGTAAGCTCATCCGGAGACCGCTGATTTCGCGTGCTCAACTCCGATAAGGGCTATTGTAATGCCTTCTTGTCCCAACGTTACTTTGTTTCTTTGCTACATTAGCGAACACTGAACTACTGCTTCGTACTCTAAATATGACAATCAACCACAAAAATCCCTAAACCAGATAACATTAAACATAATCCAAAAAATCATGTAAGTCATCTGTCAATTCACGAGTTTGCTCACAGAGCACTTTGATTTGCTACCGGTAATGCGTTTCGCTAAATCAAATAAGGCCCCCTTTCAAATAAGCCACCCTCTCTCTATGAATTCCCCCCTTAAACGTGCTTAAAACAATTAAGTCCCGGAAGGGAAAATTAGAGGATTTACAGTATTTTGTCAAAATAAATCCAGGCGTGTCTTCTATTGGAACTTTTTATTTCAAAAGGTACCCTCCAATCATGGCCAAAAATACTGTTCCGAGCCTCCCTATTTAGAACCTTGTTTGACACACTCATCGTGATGCTTAAAAACTGGCGTTTGAATAAGGATATCGCGTCACTTTTTCATGGAAAAAATCTAACTATTCTCAGATATTTCGCGATAATTTTCAATCACTTCCTTTATTCTCAAAATTTGCATTTTTGTCCAGATAAACATATTTTTAAGGAAAAATTTACGTTATTACTCACCAATGTTTGAAAGCCCTTCTTTCTTCATTATACCTACGAAATAAAGCAAACGTGAACCCAACTTCGTGGGAAAAGGACGGAAACAGCGGTATATCGAACAGAAACAACTGATTTTAACCCAGTTTTATTTAAAAATTATTCACCTCAATGTGGGTGATTAGTAGTGGATATTTACCGAGCCGTGAAGCGGTGAAGTAAATATCCACCATTTTTACTGACACTCAGGTAAATAATTGTTGTAGTATATGCCACACAAGTTGAATGATCAGCCGATTAAAAATTTGCTTTTTTTTCCAAAACGAGCGACAAGTGCACATCAGAAAATCATGAAAATCGCAGCACGCGATGCTCCTTCGCAGAAAGCGATTTCTTATTGTAAAAGTTTCCGTCTCGCTTTCTTACGGATAAATAAAACTTCTGAAGGCACTTACTTAAGCCTTTAACCCTTTTAGGGCCTCCCTTTGACGAGAAAAATCGTCTGGCGTTAGACAGAGTAAAATCGTCTGGCGTTAGACAGAGTAAAATCGTCTGGCGTTAGACAGAGTAAAATCGTCTGGCGTTAGACAGAGTAAAATCGTCTGGCGTTAGACAAAATAAAACCGTCTAGTTGTCCACCAACAACTCTATACTTAGTTACATTTTTTCCAAAAACCATGTGGTCACATCCAGTTACAAAAACATTACAAAGCTCATGTCCAACTACAAGAAATCTTAAAAGTTTTGAAAAGACGATTTACTCTAAGGAGCTGAAAGTTTCAGTAGCTGTTCCTTCATTCTATGCAGAAATTTTGATATGTCAATTGTGTCCATCACTTTTGACGTTGTCATGGCAACCATCAAATTCCACGCAGATCTGACCAAAATCAGCTTTTTTGAGAAACTTCCTAAGTTTTTTTCCACGTTTCTTCATCAAATAACAGAAATTCGTGAATTTGTACATTTCACAAGCATTCTAGCTTGATTTTGTGTTAATTCCCCAAATGTTAACTTTTTCCAAAAGATTGTGAAATCCAAGATGACGAGTCAAATGACGTCATTGCCAAGAAAAGTAATATATTCTCACCAGGGCTACCCACAAACAAAGCCTCAAAGATGTTATAAGATATGGGAAAGGCCAGCCCGAGGCGGAAGTGAGTAGGTAGCTACCTAGAGCGTAGGCGCTATCATCGCTGCGGGGAGGAGGGAGGGGCGCACTTAGCTAAACCTCCTCAAACGCCGTGGAAAGGACTTTTGAGGTTATAAAGGACTGACCGTACCGGAATAAGATTATATAGCAAAAAACGTGTCAAAGATTGCATAACCATTCTCATGCTAAAATCCCAGGGGTTTGGAGTCACGTAACATGCTGAAATTCACCTTTGTTCGGAGGGATCCCTGGTGAGAATAGTGATATCATCTTGTAGAGCAAGCTCAGGGGTATCTAATCAGTGTAAATTTATTTCGCTCTGCCTGAATAACCGCGGTGGGGCTTTCAGTTAGCTTGTACGTCCGAGGGTAACTTTTGAATCTGTGGAAGAAATCTTTATGTGTGACTATTCAAATGAAAGCTTTAGAGCAGTACTTTCCTGCGTTGCTGTTTATTAATCAGTGCAAGGTGACGCAACCATTCGAATGAAATCTACTGAAAAATTCATTCATCCTATTTTTGTATTTAAAAAAAACCATACTTACCTGAGTTCAACACAATTCTCTTGAGGTTATCGTACTTTATCCCTGGACAAAGATTTGCTTTCTTGAGAAGATAAGAGGTCTGATAAGCCTCAGCACCATAGAACAGAAAAACTTTTGGGACTGGAGATGGAGTTTTCTCGAGAACGTCTGCCAAGCATGTATCATAATCCTGATAAAATGAAGCAAAGAAAAGGAACTAAGAACTTTACGTCATTAAATAAATAAATAAATATATAAATGAGTAGGTCATTAGGCTCCTGGTAAGTGAGTGAGTGAGTGAATTAATGAGTACGTAGTTGGCTGGGTGGTTGGGTGGGTTAGTGAGTGAATGAGTGGGTGGGTGAGGGAATCAATGAATGCATGAGTGAGTGGGTGGGTGAGTGAGTGAGTGAGTGAGTGAGTAACAGTAACAGAAAATCTTTACAATAAGGGTTATGATGTCTACTAGAATAACTAATCAACTAAAAGATCGCACAATAGCTTCTAAGATGATAGGTATGAGAGCAAACTAAAAGAAAAATTCGTCAATTGCATTTTGATTTTAGGATCTCTTTTCTCTTCTAGAACATTAAATATGTATATGTGAGTGAGCAGTGTGGGTGAATAAATGCCAGACAGATAGATAGGTAGACAGGTAGATAGATAGATAGATAGATAAATAAATAGACAGACAGATAGATAGATAGATAGATAGATAGACAGATAGATAGATAGATAGATAGATAGACAGACAGACAGACAGACAGACAGACAGACAGACAGACAGACAGACAGACAGATAGATAGATAGATAGATAGATAGAAAACTTTATTTAACCACGGCAACTTTGATAAAAAATTACAATACATTGCTCTTTTGTTCTTCCCAAAAGCCGTGAACTATAATAATTACAATTAAGTTTTTTAAAATATTATGTACAAGTTTACATCAATATATTAGATATGAAAATGTAGTATGTATAAAGGAATATTACAAGTTAAGTGTTATGAAAGAAAGATTGAGAGATTCTAATTTGTGTTTAAAAGCTCCCATGGATTTTTCGTATTTCATATGGATGGATGGATGGATGGATGGATGGATGAATGAGTTAATTTTAGTCTCGTTTAAATATATCTTGGTTTAGTTTGCCTAGCATCAATTTCCCTTGTGAACTTACCCCAATTACTCGGCACGACAATTCAAGGTCGTCGGCGTCTGAATCGAGATTGAGGCGTGCTGCCATTGCCTTCTCGCCGGCAAATTCAGGGGCGTTTCCCTCATAACACTTTAAGATTGGTTCGAGCACCCGTAACTTGGAATCAATGAATCCGTTCGCAGCAGAGATAACATTAGCAGCAAACAAAACGGTGATGATCTTTGAAAACATGGTTGAACTCGTTTCTAAAGAATAAACACAGTAAGGGTTGTTTTTAATGTCATTAAAACAAAGCTGAAAGAAAGGAAAGCCCGAAACTTAATGGTTAAGTTTTGTTTAAAATAGGAAATATCCATTTTAAGAGTTAGAACTGAAAGTAGAAAATATGCGAAACCAGAAGCTTTTGCGAAATAAACAGATACATTTACGCTCGGTGGCTTAGCGTCTATAATACTTGCCAGCAGAGCGAGACAGCTTGTGATTGTGCTCAGACGAATGTGACACTTTAAAAAGTGAGAACTCAACAAAAAGGATGCTTAGCCGTGGCGAACAGCTTTGACGAAAAGAACCAGCGTATGTCACTTAAACTGTATAAAACTGCATTTAAAAACTCTAACTCTGGAGCAAGGGAGAGTAATTTGTTTGGGAGGGTAAAACCATTTATAAACAATATTATATATGGCTCTGTTTAATCAACTTGAAGGCTTTAGGGCTTGTTAACCTCTAGGTACAACTAGTGAGGGTATAAGACGAAATGAGTTTGTGAAATGGCAATTGGCATGACTTGCAGAATGGCATCATTATGTGGCATGGGATATATGCAGAATGCTCGAGAAATTGATTCAACTGAAACGCGCGCCATTTCAACAGTTCTAATTAGCTTGGATTATTAATTGCGTCTGCCATCCTAGAGTGTGAATAATCGCAAGCTAGTTACCGTTCTCGTTACGTTTGATTATGATAACAAGTTCGTTACAGTCTGGTGGTTGGCGACTCCTTCATGTTTACGAATTTCAGGGTATCAACAATTCAAGCTAACACTACATCAGAGTTTAAATCTTTTACTTGCGACATTTTTGGTATCAGCGATGCCGATGAAATTTCTATCCCCTTCGTCCGCATCCTTTCTATTTTCTTTCAATTCTTTTTCTCTCACTGAGTGAAATGGTATGGAACTAAGCGCAGTTTTGCCAATCATCTGTCCATAAGTATTTTGTTGAAACAACATTGTTGTAAAATCGTTTATTCAGAACATACTTGACTTGCTAAAAATTACTTGCACTAAAAATTTAAGCCGCTTAAATTATGAAATATTGCTTTTTATTTCCCTCGTATACGAAGCCTGTCTTTTATCTGGCACATGTACGGCTGCTGAGCTCAGTTGACAGTTGTGAGCTTCAAACTAAGCCATAAATATTGTCGCCGCACCAAAGCATAACGCCGATTACTTGGATCGTTAGTCTTATAAATTTCTGTTTTGCATCCAGAACATGCAGTAAAACTCACCGTTTAGTGTTGCTAAGATTTCGTCCTGGAGCTGGCCCTCGAAGCTGAAGTCTTCAGAATAACTGAAACAAAATCACTGGCGCGAAATATGTAGCGCGCCAGGCTTATCCCGTGAAGCGGAACGGCTTGGACGCCGTCCTTTTTCTTCCGTTAATTTGTACGCCACTCTACATTTTATTTATGGTGTAGCATGGCAAATTGCCAATTTTACATCAAAAGGAGATTGAGCCCTGTAATGCTTAAGGAAATATTTAATGACAGTTTTGAAAATTTCAAAATTACAAGGATTTGTATAGAAAACCATGTCAGCGTGACTGGGTGACAAAAGTTGTTTTTCTCAAACGAATGCTTCTAACTTTCGGCGGCCGTTGCAATCGCTACTTTTGAGATATGCAGCTTAAAAATTCTCAGGTTACCTAATTTTAATATGCTCTTTTAGCTTGTGTTAACAAAACGTTTTAAAAGCGAACTGTTTTCGTGATTACCGAAAGTTGATCACGTGATCAAGTCATGCAAAGAGCCCATTGCATTCCGCAAGTCATGCCACGAGCCAATCCGAACTAATTCCTCCTTTTTCCTCACCGCACTAAAACAAATGATGTTTAGAAGGTACTACAATGCCTTCAAGTTTCTGCGAAAGGAGGCTGATCTTAAATTCGGCATCCGACAGTTTGAGGCGATTTTAATGAAAGACACTTTGAAGTGTATTTGTTTTACGTTTGATTATAATGACAAATTTGTTACGGTTTGGTGGTTGGCGTCTTCTTCATGTTTACGAAATCATTGGCGCGGAATATGTAGGGCGCCAGGCTTATCCCGGCTTGGCGTTTGGAAGGTACTTCAACAATCTCCAATGCCTTCAAAGTTTCTGCTAAAGGAAACTGATCTTAAATTCATCAACTGTTGGCTTAGGGCGTTATTTGCTTTAGTTTCCCAATTACTCATAGCTTGTCGAGCGAAACGGCTAGGACGCTGTCCTTTTTTCTGCCGTTTATTTCCACGCTTCGCTACGTTATAATTTAATCCGTCAGTTTGAGGCCAATTTTAATGAAGGTGCCTTTTAAGTGTATTATCATCACGTTGCTAAAATATGTAGGAAAGTTTCACAGCAAACAGCTGTTCTTAAAAGAATGAAGAAAATGCTTCCCTTCGAAACAAGGCGCGACCTATATTTAGCATTTATCCTTTCTCACTTCAATTATTGCAGTGAAACCTGGAATTTTTGTAGTAAAAGTGCTGCAGACAAATTGGAAAGGTTAAATGAGCGCGCGATCAGGTTTGTTTTCAGGGATAAGTACACAAGCTACTCGGAACTTCTCAACGCATCAGGCCTCTCATCTTTAAAACAACAAAGATTAATTAAAATCACACTGTCTATTTTAAATGCCGTCCACAATTCTTTAGCGCCCAAAAGTATACAAGACCTGATAGTTCATAGGAAGAACGTTAGCTACAATTTAAGAGGTGAATATATCCTCTCAATGCTCAATGCCGCGGCAGAGTTATACGATCGTCCACATGTTGAACAGTCACGAACCCGTTGATCTTGTTCCATCACCTCCACCAGTAAAATAGGAAGCTGACTTAAAAAAACTCATGCAGAATAATAATAACGATAATGAGATGATGTCGACAAAGTGGATAATCACAAAGATCATTGATGTAGCAGTGTCTTAGGACGCCAATATTGACAGCAAGTGCAATGAGAAGGTTGACAATTATAACGATCTAGACTTAAAACTCGCTCGATTGTGGCATAAGCGGACAATGATTATCCCAATCATCGTTGGATCGCTGGGATGCATCAAAAACAACCTTGAAAAGGCCCTTAAAGATCTAGGCATTGAGACTGATTGACGCCGTAACAGCCTGCAAAAGACAACAGTCCTGACTTTTGCATATATCTTATGAAGATTCCTGATATGCTAGGCTTAAGGCATTGGTTGTACGCCGCCTAGTTGATCTGCCAGTGAGAAACTTGGGCATCATCATAATAATATATTTATGATAGAGCATAAAAATCTTGATACTGTATCCATTACATTCTTATACTATTAAAGAAAATAACTTGTCACGTATTATAATTATTATTAAAATATAATAACGATAATAATAATGATAGTAGTAAGTAATCATATAAAAACAAACTGCTTGAGTACTTTTTCATACAAACTTGAATCTTACATGTATCTGGTAATAAAATAATAATAATAATAATAATAGTGATGATAATATTTTTTATCAATAATCAATCTTTTTTTACAAATCATCAAATAGTTACAAAACGATAAAATATAGAGAAAATTACTATAATGAGAAGACTGTATTAATCCTTTGTTATAAATGATATAAGATGACAAACAAAAATAATAATGATTAATAATAATAATAATAATAATAATAATAATAATAATAATAATAATTGTTATGATAATAATGATGATGATAATAATATTTGCCCAGGAGGCTCTGCTCACTGAAATGGTTTCCAGGGCGATCCTGAAAAAGAATACTGGGGAACATATGTTTCCCGGAGTTATAGTCTGTCCCACTATACATCTACCGGTTAGGTTGAGGCTGCTGGGTGATGCGCTAACAACTTGCAAAAGCGTTAGCTGGTCACAGAAGACCCACAGTTATATGACTGCTGGATTTAAACCCCTACGAGGAGCGAAAAGGACTTATGAGCAGTTATTGCAAAACAATATTGGAGCACCAATTCAGATTACTGGACAAAGTTACCAAAGCCTCCTAAATTCCAACCAGCTCATGCAAGTTAAATTTATTTCAGCGTTCTATAAAAGGGTCTGGCAATCAAAGTAATTTGTCTAACAGTTGGTCACATGAGCATAGGTTAATGACCCCTGATATGCACTTCCACATCGGTTAAATATTAAATTAGTTTAATCCCCGTGTACTTCCCTTCGTATTGACATTTGTCAGGCGTGTTCACCTATTGGTCTTGTTATTAGGCCCTGTTAATTCACCACAGTAAGTCGACCCATTTCATAAGGTGGCGTGTTGAGCCGATAAACAAGACAATACTACATTGATTTCATGATTGGTGATACCCTTGCTTTTTCGCCATTTACGACTTCTTTCCCGAGCGCTTTCTCGTCTTTGAATCGTTGTAATTGCAAACACATTGTGCTGTCGGATCATCTTCGTGACTTTTTGTGTAGTTGCTACTAACGGCGTCAAAAAGAGCAACGTAATAACGATGCCGTAATGAATAAATTTGCCGGTTTCGCTGAGGTGTACGATAGAGCGCTGAGCGTAACCAGAGACCAATTCGTACGCTTGAAGACCGAACAATCGAGGAACCACCGTGTAACATGCAATGAAACTCCACACGGAGGCAATCATAGCGCGCGACTTTCTCGCTGAAAACAGTCTCCTGTACTGCTGATCTGACTTGCATATCCTCACATAACGATTTACAGCTTTTAAGCCCACGGTTACAGGAGAAACGTAGATAACAAAGAGGCTGAAGAGGGCGTAAAGTTGGCAAGCGTTCTGCCAAAGATCCAGTTTCCCTGCTATCAATACGCTCGCGCTTATGGGCATCACAAACACAGCAGAGAGCAAATTGCTCACGGCCAAAACCATAATGAACAAGTTTGTTGTCGTTCGAAGTCGATTATTCTTGCAAATCGAAATACAAACCAAGGTGGTTCCAATAAGTGACAAAATATTTAAGGTTATGAGCAAACTGACTTCTACAACGATCAAACTGAGACCTCGTGATTTCAAATCGTCCGGCATCATAGACACAAAGACGCCAACCTTAGCATCAAATTGATCTCACTGCTCAAGGGTTTGTTATAAAGCTTCAGCAAAGATTTTAGCTAGCTTTCAGAAATCGGCGTCATATATTAATCCCAGTATTTTGCTTTCACCAGTGGAGCTGTCAATTGCCCATCCAATTTTAATATTCACATATTCGTTAGGATACATCGTTAAGTTACGTTATACTAACTCTTGTCCCTTTTTTGTTTACGTTATACTAAATTCTGGTCTTCGACATTGTCGTAAACATCTCTTCTGTTGTCAGACAGGTCAGGTGATGTTTTATTCGTTTTCATTTTTTAGCTGTTCTTGAATATATTTTGTCACAATCTGAGCCACAAGCTACCTGAAGACTGCGGATAAAAAAGCGTTTCACTTAGACACAATCTCCTATCTTTCCTACTCAAAACACGATCAGGCAAAGAGACACATGTAGCCGCTTTATTTCTAAAGTAAGTCAGGATTCAAATCCTGTCCGGGGGAACTTGCCGTTGTTTTGTTTGATTTCCTTTTCAAATTTTCTTTAGACAATTTCTTCCTTTTCTTCAATTTAAACAGAGCTTTTAAATAATCTGGAATGTCTATGTGTACCGGTCTATGCATTCAAGACAGCATCGAATGCTTTTTTCTACTTATTGGCAGGTCAGATTACCCTTTCCTTAAACACTATGCATGAGGAAATACACTGTTCTGTTTTCCACAAAATATTTGTGCGTTTGTTCCTTGCAGTACGTACTTTATTGTTACATATAATCTTAAATTTTGCTTTCCACTCATGGCAAGCTCTATGCAGTTTAGTAGTAAAGCATTGTACCGCGAAAGCGGTCCCAGTCGGGATGGAGATCCCGTTCAGGGGAACTTGCCGTTTTGTTTAAATTTCTTTTTAACCTTTTTTCGCAATGATATGTCCTTATTCCCATTTCATACAAACCTTACAAATAGTGTGGAGTGTCTTTGTATACTCGCCTTTTCACTTCATTACATTAGGGACTGTTTTCTTTCACTTATTACAAGTTCACCATTTTCCTTAAAACTTAAATTGGGGAAATGCATCGGAACGCTTCTGAAAATCCTTCTTTTTTTCGATGATTCGTTCCTTTTTCCTATTTTATACCAAGCGTACAAATAATCTAGAGTGTCTCTATGTACTCGTCTTTTCACTTTATTACATAAGAGAAGATTGGCAAATTTTCCCTTATCACAGACTCTCAAATCCAGGTTATGCATCGGAACACTGCTGAACACGTTAGAAAATGGAAAGAAAACTTTCAAGAGATTATTATAGCCCGAAAGGATTTTGAAAGGTATTGGCAGCAGTTAAGAAGTTGGTTAAAGAAGCTGGTTTGTCTGAAGATGTTGCTAAGCTTCGGCGGATAATGCAAGCCATCTGGCAGACTTATTTACCTGCCCTGAAGCATATCCTAAGACCAACGTTTGATGTTGAATCTCCAAATACACTTCATTAAGCTGATCTTCTTATCCTTTCCTATGACACACTCCCGAGAGGAAGTATACATTGACAGTTGTTGATGTTTGGAGCAGATTCAAGGCTGCTGAACCTCTCACCTCAAAAACTTTTTCTGAGTTCTGAAGAGCTTTTCAGACAATTTATAAGAGAGGATTATTGAGATGACCAAAAGCTCTTCAGGTTGATCCTGGGGGTGAGTTCACGGGTGAGGTAACCAAAGAGATACAAAGCATGGTGTGAGACTAAGAAGAGGGAAAGTAAACCTTCACAGAGATTAGGGAATAGTTGAGCGATTCAATCGAGCTTTAGATGAGAGCCTTTTCACTTTCCAATACAGTCAGGAGTTGAACTTCAAATCTTCAGAGAGATCGAGAGAATGGGTGAAGAGGCTTCCAGAAGTTGTATTAACTTTAAGCCGTGAAGAAACAGAATTGACAGGAAAGAAACCTGTTGATGCAATCTATTGCCAAGAAAAGGCAGTTTACGCAAAGAGTTCAACCACTCATTCGAGACCAGTTGGCTTGAGTGAGAAGAGACTCGGCTTTTCAAAAAATGAGGTATCTCTGCCGCCAGCGAGCTGGGAGGCGGTCGAAGAGGAGAAATTGGAACCAATTGGGTAATTAGAGGAAATTCAGTCATTTGAGCCGGTTGGGTCATTTGAAGTAGTTGAGTCACCGAACTGATTGGGTTATCTAAACTGGTTGAGTCTTACTCGAACTGACTAGCTCATTTGATTAAGTTAGACCACTAGAACAGATTGAGTCATTTGAGACAACTCGGTCATTTTAGACAACTCGGTCATTTGAGGCAATTGGGTCACTAGAAGTTATTAGCTCATTGACTGTTTCTACCAATTTAACCAATTCAGCTAGTTTGTAAGTTTTCTGCCGTAAGAGCATTTTTCTTAGTTTGAGAGTTTTAAAAAGTTAAGGCAATCTAATTAGTATATGCATTTTGTCAAGTTTAACTATTTCGGCTCATTTGACTGTTTTTACTACTTTAACCAATTTAGCTCTTTTGCGCATTTTGTCCAGCTTAATTAACTATTTTCTCTTTTTTAACTGTTTTAGGCTACTTTGTGCGTTTTCTCCACCTTCACAGTTTCGGCTAGTTTGACTAATTTTGCCAATTTAGCCAATTCAGCTAGTTTGTGCGTTTTCTCTTGTTCCTCTTGCAATTTTGCTATTTTGACAGTTTTAAAAAGTTTAATAAGTTTAGTTAGAGTGTGCATTTTGTCCAATTTAAGCATTTCGCCCACTTTGATTGCTTCGAGCTACTTTGTGCGTTTTCTCGTGTTTCACTGTTCGGTTAGTTTGGCTGTTTTTACCAGGTTAACTAATTTAGCCAATTTGGTTTCCAGATAGAGTTCATTTTGAGACAAACGACTCAAAACATTTGGCATCAGCGCTAACATAAAGATTAGGACTAATCAGTCTTGGAAACAGTACAAATGCGTGTTGTTTCAAAACAAGATAAATCTCTTGTCGACTTCTTTTACGGGTATAAACACCATTAGACTTGAAGTTTTCACTATCATTGTTGCTTATCACGACTTTTGCCAAATGCGATGGCTCCTATAAGAGCCGTTAATGAGTTCTTTAAGGTTTCTGTAATTCTGTAGCCGCCAGAGCAAAATAAAATCGCCCTTCGCCTTATTTCACATGTATAAACACCGTTAAGGTTTCACTATCGTTGTTGTTGCAAAATATTGGTGGTTCCTAAAGGAGCCGTCAATCAGTTCCTTGAAGTTTCTGTGATTCCCTGGCCGTCAAAGCTGTTATGGGTATGGCCTTGGCGTTTTATGGCGTAGACGGCATCCATTGTGAATAATTTTCTTCTTTGCGGATCATTTGTCATGCGCATTAAATACAGAGTTTTCTCCCAAAGGATCTAAGTTATGCGGTAACCATGAGTTCACGAGAGGTTCTTTGAAGCGAACTTTCTAATCATTTGAATTTGCAATAATTGTCAATACAAACATTTTCATCATAAAAACAACAAAAACGTGTTTCTCTTTTAAGTTACAACATTCTGAATTCCTTAATAGCTGAAGTTTACTTCAATCGATCAAATGGAGCTCAATCGAGCGTCTCAGGATCAGGCAGAAAATATTGGGATGATGATATGAAGTGCACACTTGGAATAGGAGGGTTTCCCATCCAGCTCACTCTAAATCCTTCCGCAATTAAGTAGGTTCTGGCAGTTCCATATTGCCAGAATGCGATAATTCGCTTGAATGAAGAGATCAGGATATGTGTTACCTAAGTCAATATTTCAAAGCAAAATTCAGAGAAATATTCACAAGAATGAAAATTGAACACACCTCAGGCGTAGAATCAAAGAGATAGCTTTCCAGGCCGAATATTAGCTAGGGCCTCAACAACTCAACTTTGATGTCAGGTGTGATGCTACATGATTTCTCGTCGATAGATACCCCGAGTATTGAGTGTTTGAGCTGTTCGTCAGAATCCATTACACCGCTCACCTTTCTTGGGGATGCTTCGCCCCACTCGCCTCTACAAACCGAGGTGCAACGTTAGATTTTCAGGGAAGGTTTAGGAATACCTAGCAGCCTGGTTTACGCTCGGAGAAAGAACTGGGCGAAAGGCAGACCCCGCCCAAGTTGCAGTGGACATGCGAAAAATGAATCCAATGCATGTTTGGTAGCTAGAGAAAAGTGGCCAACGTAGAGTAAAGTTCAGAGATTTTTCTCCTGGCCAACAGCAATGCAACGCAGAGATCAGTGTGTGCCCAGGATATCGCTGGACGAGGAGAAAGATGTCCAATGCGTCCATGAAAATTCCGAGAGACAGGATCTGATAGACTGAAGAGATCAAAGTCTCGCATCCAATCTATAAGATGAATGCTTGCGGATTACATGGAAAATTGAAAGACTGGATTCAAAGTTACCTCGTTGATCGAGAACAATTTGTTGTAGTAAATGGGAAAAGATCTGGCCTTCAACTAGTGCCCTATGGTGTCCCACAGGGATCCCTCTTAGGACCAAAGCTATTTTCGATCTTCGTAAATGACTTGCCTGACTGTATATCAAATGGTGAAATCCACCTCTATGCTAATGACACCACAGCATTCGTTATTGGAAAGAATGAAGATGAGGTAGTAACTCTACTTAACATTATGTTCTCAGAAATTAGCAAATAGTGTAGTATAAACAACCTCATAATTCATCCAACCAAATGCAAAGTTATGCTAACCTCAAGAAAGAGCTTCACTGGCCTATTGAAACCTGTCAAATGGGGAAACAAATGTCTAGAGTATACGGATAAAGTAAAAGTACTTGGAATATATATTGACACAAATTGACTTGGAAACTACATATCAAAGAGCTAACTAAATCAATTAACGCACAACTAACGTCTCTTAAAAGAATATCCTATCTGTCAACTAAGGAATTAGAAAGTATCTATTTCAGGTTGATTATACCACACATAAATTACTGTATATCTGTATGGGGAAACTGTTCAACCGCTGCTTTCGAACCCATTGAAGC